TAGATGTGCACCATAGTTAATTAACGGCAAAAAGCTAGTATACCTATACATAATAGTCACCACTTATTTTTTTGAAGTTGTCAGTTGTCACGCTAAGTTGATGAACCTCTGCAATTGAGATTATTTGAACTTGTCATCGATATGTTGTAACACTCTGTACATCAGTATGGGTCACAAGGTTACGAACCTTCTTTTTGGCACACTCCCAGGCCAAAACAGCAAATATGTACGCAATTCACTGCTGTGATTCACCGATTTTAGGTTTGCATGACCATGGCCTAGTATTTGCAAAATGTGTACCAATTTTTATAAAATGACCACCCCGGTCCAAAAAATTATCTTTATTACTGGTTTGTTTACATGTAATGTTTTTTCAAAAGGTAAAGCATTACAAAGTATTTGTATCTGTTAAGTGGTATCTTTTCAGAAAGTGAACCCTACTTAACTATTATGGTAAACAAGCAGCCACTACTGACAGACACGATCACGGTAAATAATGGACAAAATGTATACATCGATTGTATAGCACACCCTTCACATCATTCGGCTCTCTGGCTACCAAAGGATAAACATTTTAAACAAAAGGACACAATTTCAAGTAACACTGCTACTTTAAACTTAACCGAGTCAAACGCTGGAATTTACATTTGCCAAAGTCTCCCGACAAAATTAGAAAGATCCGTCAATGTTGTGGCTAAAAAACGAGTTAGACGTGATGGTGAGATGAAAAAGTATTTTCAACATTTTCACACGTTGGTTTGTAGGATCGCATGACTTCACTCTCCCTGAAGGACCAATCTCATTTGAGGAGGCGGGTAAGTTACATACGTTAATTTTTTGATTCGGAGCTCGTTATTGACAATCTGAGAGTTTGCCGCTGAAAAAATGCCTTCACACTATGTCCCGAGTCAGTTTTAAAAAAGAAGCTAGTGACCCGGTATGGATAACAACAATCATTTATTAACAAATTAACTGTTGCACAATAGGCAACTCAAGTAGTGATATGAAGATTGCAATTTTTAATTTTTGTGTTGTACTGTCCAATAAACATAATTTAATAAAAAATAGTGTCTCCCATGACTACTACCAACTTTAACAAAAATGAAAATTTCCTGTGCACATACAGGGTATTCCTAAATATGATGTAAATACGGAAGGGAGTAATTCAAATACACTATACTTTTTTATTAAAACAAACATGGAGAAGACTACATAATATAAAAAATGTCGTAGACGCCATCTCATTTTTATCAATCTGAACTTATCTACATGCCTGAGATTTTAAATTCATATAAAAGCGTTGTTGTCAAAAACGTCTCTTACACAGGGTGTTATAATTTCACCATTTTTTAACTTTGAGATATTTAGCTTAAATTTGGAAAATAAGGTATGTTGAAGAGCTTACATCATTGATAATGTCACTGGCAGGAGATGAGAAATTAATCTTCTGGTTTGTTTAACATTTTTTTGATCCCTTGTAATTTTTTCCTATCTGCGATCTTTTTGACAGTTTGCATTTGACACTGTATATTGTTTTGTATATGTTTATAAAGGAAACGTTCAAATTGTAAAGTGTATGATTATTATAACACACTGTAGATCGGTAACGAAGCGCTTGCGTACATATGTTTATACGATCTATTAGTAATAAAATAAGCCAAACATCGTACATCGTATTTAAGAACACTCTGTATACTAACAATAAGTTGCATTATACAATGTTACAAGCAATGGCCAACAGCGAGCTTATTAGTGCAAATTTTCAGCTTTACAGTAACGTTCTGAATTATTTAGTGAAAGAACATTGTCTAATATGTAACTTTACATATTTTTAGTACGATTGCAAAAGGAATTTTTACAGAAATATAAACGTGAGTATGTATTCAATTTTAATCTGTTTGAAATTATCATAATGCTTCCAGTAACTGACTATAGTTTGCAGAACCTCATACAAGGTGAGTAATAAAGATGGTTTTTTTAAGTTGATACTTACGCCTTATGTTGATCTGGTAAAAGAAGATAGTGTTGACTGTCGCCCATTAGTCGAAATTAGAGCAAGAAATAAAAAAATTGAAATTTGCCACCATGTATAACTTGATATTATCGTTTAAGAAGTCATAAATCGGAGTAACATTTAAAAAAATCAATATCTCAAATTTGGAACACCTGTATATTACATCAAAAAGATCAAGTTTGAAGGACTAATCGACGTGTCTGCAAATTCAAAAAGCCTTTGATTTGCTGAATTTAGGTTAAGTTAGATTCACCCTGTATAGTCGCGCGGTTGCCAGCTCTTACAAATATGTGTAACTTCGTACGTTTTATAACATATATACAGGGTGGACCCTTTCGAACTTATTCAGGAAGTGTCTAATTTTCTTTTATTTTAGAAACAGAAGACAGGCGTCGTCAAGCTGAAATAAAACGTGAGTCCTAATGTAGTTTATATGTACGCTTAAATTTAGGTTTGAAGTTCTACTAACACAAGCTTATTATTCATGCAATTTTCGTAGAATCTTTGCATTGTATCTAATTTTCTTTTGTGTTGTTTAGGCGCTGAAGAGCAGATGAAAGCTAAGAAAAGGGAAAGTGAGTTGAAACGTTTTATTTTTGTGATAAATTCTTGAGTG